TGGGAATAATGCCGCATAAACTTTGTGAAAGTGTGGTTTCATTTTGAGGGGTATATCTTCAGCATAAATTCCTCAAAGTAGGATTTTGGGATTAATGCCATCTGCATTGCTGTGCAATTATGCCAACATTTTTCCATGGGGTGGAGCTATCTTCTATTTCCATCAGCAAAATATGAAGGTAATTGTTTCTTTGCAGCCTTACCAAAAAGTTAAGTGTCAAGTTTATAGATCTCCCAATAGGAGAGAAAGTACAGCATAGATTTATTTGCATTTCTTGTGTGTAAAGACACTTTCAAAGATAATCTGCATTTTTTTCTGTGACTTCTCCATTATATTTGTTCCTACATTTAGATTTACCTAATTTCTTTAAGTGGGCCTACTTTTACAGCCTATTGTTTTGTTTTTGTTTCTGTTCTAGTTACTGTTGACTCTCAGGTGAATAACTGCCAGCCTCCTACCGGAGCTCCCTGCTTCCTTCTACCCTTCTCACAGTAGCTCCTCTCTCTCTCCCCCTTTCTCTGTCTCTTTCTGTTGCTCTTGCTCTCTTTACAGAATTAGCATCATTTCTCTACATGTAATCCTCCAATGGTTATATGTAGGGAAATGATCACAACTCCAGTAAAATCCATACTTCTGTCAAGGCCCACTAGGCAGATGAGGTCTTAATGCACCTTCGCCCTCCTCCTGGCATCCCTCTCAGTCTGCTGCAGCCACCCCATGTCTGCTGTTACTGCCTGCACTCTGGATTCCCACCTGAGGGACTCTGCATGGCAGCCTCTGCCCCCATGTGTGTACTGGGCTCCCTCTCACTTTTAGAAGTGCTCAATGTCACTTAAAGAGAGCAGCTATCTTTAACCACCTTGACTTTCTTGATTGGCCATGTGTTGTCTGCCCCTAGGGTCTCCTAGAATGTAAAAACCTGAGTTGGGAATCAGAGGGCTTTGTCTTGAATTTCACTGTTTCTCCTACATCTGTAATAGTGCCCAATAAATATCTACTATTTCAGTGTACCCAAACACTAAATTAAGCTTCTCCCAATTTTCTTATACCTTCTAAGGTATTACCTAATGCAAACTTTTGATCTGTCACTTAAGATCTGCACCACTTTCTGATTTTGAAGTAGCAGTTATTCAGAATTAAAGACACAAAACCCACAAAAACACTAAAAGGGAAGTGCTATGTCCAGCGAAAAACCAATGGAGTTTGGGATAAGAACATTTAATTTTAAAATACCTTCACTACAAAAGACATCCTAATGAAGTTTATAAGGAAGTATATCAGCTGGTTTCTAGAGATAAATACAATGCATCTATTTTAATCTGTGTCCCCAGAATAAAGCATTACAATGGGATTGTGTCTGGTTTCACATTGAAAGATGGCCCCTCAGAACAGTGGGTAACTGAAAGGTGCTCCAGCCATTGCAAGGTACAGGACCAGTTCCTGGAGGCCTGCAATGGAGCTCACACAGCTGCATGGAAACACCCTGGATGCTCCCCAGGGGTCAGGCACAGTTCCAACAGCTGGATGTCCTTATTCTCTTTAAAACTCCGAGTTACACAGAAGCACACAAAGAGTGCCCTTGTTTTTCTAAAATAGAATGTTATATTTATGTGAATACAAAAGACTCAGGGAGAATAAACACCAAATATTATTTTTTAACCTTTTACATCAAATGCTTATTAATATACACCCCCCCCCCCACAAAAAAAGAGGGTTAAAATAATCACTAGAAAGAGTAAAGTTCTGTTGTGCAGAGGTTTTTCCTCATCATGTTGCCAATTCATTGCCTACTCACTCTTCAGGGGAGAGGGAGAAAGGGGTCATTGTGAGAGAGCACCTTTACTAGTAGCAGCAAATTAGCAAAGCCCATAGGTCAGAACATAAAAGGCTGCATGAGCAGTTGGGGAGTAATGATTAAATTGATCACAGACTCCAGTGCCTTTTTTTGTGTTACTGATATTACCATCGGTTATGTTAGATACATTGTTAGATAAAGGCAAGGTACGGGAGAAATTCTGTTAAGTCTATCTGAAATCTCTCAGGTTCTTAAGTATATCGCTTTGGAATGATGTAAAGAATTCATGTTCATCTGTTTCAGAAGCACAGGCAGAGCATAATTCAAATATGATTGTGTGTAAGTAACCAAATAATTCAATTCTCCATTTTAGAAAAGCCAGAATGTTTTACAACCAAGTAGGTATTTCTTAGTTTCCAGGGAAACCAATGTAAAATTGTCTGAAATAAAGATATTACAAGCAAAATTTCAATGTGCTTGTACTTTATATTTGATATTCTCACTATGTTTCTATGGAAACATATTAATTGGCCAATGATGAAATTTAGATTTCTCAACAGTTCCCCTAAGTTAAATGTCCCCCCCAAAGTTAAAAACGAATTGAAATGAAACTCAAACTATCATATTAAACATAAAAATGTAAGTTCTATACTTATGAGCTCCATTTTTTCAACTTTTCTGATTTAACATGACTTATAGGCTTATGCTTAATCGTTGTTACTAGACCTGCCATCTTACCAGAGTCTTGCAAAGTTCTACCATGTCCAGAGCACTGTCCCTTCTATAGGAGCCCCTCACAACAACCTCTTTAAAATGTATCAACTCGATAACCTGGTAAATTGATGCTGTTGTTGAATGCTACTTCTATTGTTATCCCTTGTAATGAATTACACACATGGGATGGAGTGGTAATTGTTGCTTCTGTGTTCTATTCAATAATTTAAAATGGAAATAATCAAGACTGAAACAAGTTAAATAGACTCACTTTGTGGAGAGTTTATAACATACAGGCCTGGTGCATGAAATTTGTGCAGGGGGGGAGGGGGCGGCGTGTCCCTCATTCCAGCCTGTGCCCTCTCCAATCTAGGACCCCTTGAAGGATGTCTGACTGCCCATTTTAATAGGCAGTTGGACATCCCTCTCACAATCCAGTACTGCTGGCTCCCAACCACTCGCCTGCCTGCCTAGCTGATTGCCCCTAACCGCTTCTGCCTGCCAACCTGATCACCCCCTAACCACACCCTGCCAGCCTGATCGATGACTAACTGCTCCCCTGCCAGCCCAATTGTCCCAACTGCCCTTCCCTGCTGGTCTGGTCACCCACAACTGCTCTCCTCTGCTGGCCATCTTGTGTCCACATGAGGGCAGCCATCTTGTACAGTGGAGTGATGGTCAATTTGCATATTTCTCTTTTATTAGATAGGATAGGCTCCATTCTAAAGAGTGCTGTATGCATCACCAAATTGAACTTGGTACATGAATCACCTGCATGCTAGTCTGTCCTGTTCAGCAGCCAGTTACACAATTGATTAACATCTCTAAGTCTCCGTTTCTTCAATAGCAATAAAGGGAGAATATACTTGTTTGCAGTTAGAAGGACCAAATGAGTGATACATGGAAATCAGTTGTATATCTTTAAAGAAGTATACAAAGGCCCTATTTTGGTCTCTCATCCAAAACTACCCATCTAATAACTGGTTTATAAAATCACTCAGAGAGAGGCACATCTCAGAATGAACAAAGTTTCCACAGGTTCTCAATTACATTGTGTTTAAAGGTACAATTCATTAACTTATTCACTTTTTCACACTGTTTTAATATTCTGAACAGGGAGTAGTTTTCAGTTATAAAGACAAATCTGCCATCAAGGTGAATCCCTAGGCTTAATTATTATAACTTTTAAAGAAATTAAAAGTTCAACTAGAGATTGAATAGAGTAAGAGCTATAATGTTATAATGTGTTTTTCCATGAAATATTGAAATAATCTCTGGCATTTAAATGAAAAGAAAAAAAAGTGGGGAGGGCAAAGAGCTTTAATATATTTGTAAATATACATTTTCTACTAAAAAACTGACAGTCTTCATTAGTTACATTGTTATTCAGAATTATTTTAAATCAAGTATTTCTTCTATTCTCCCTCTTCTCCACTCATGTTCCCCCCCTCTTCCCATGCTTCAGGCATCTGGTCCTTAGAACTTTCACCTTAATATTCTTACAGTTAAACAGGAATCTAGTGCAGGAGAGGAGAGGATGGAGAGGTAGCCATGGAGACAAACTGACATTCATGTGCACCATCTGGGATTTCACCAAAACTTTATGTCAATTAAAGTTTAAATGTTAAGTGTTCTCTTTAGAAACTTTTGACCAATACTCTTGTGAACCAGCCACTCCTCGTTAGAACAAGCAATATGATGGGGAAGTCTGTTAAGTCACTGAAGTAAGACTGAAGACATGTTTTGTCTAAGTGGAGATATTAATCAGACTCCCTGAATTCATCTTTCTGTAAAAATCAAACAAGCAACTATTCTCTGTAGGACTGGCAGTAACATTTCACATCCTTCAGAAATTCTGAGTTCCCTCTCCCACTATTTCCTTCTGTGTTCAAATTATAGCTGGAAGGAATAAACAGCTTCTATCCAAGCAACTGAAAACAGTCTACTTAAGAACACCATATAGGTTGTATGTCAGCTATCTATTTCAAATTTACAAAACAAACCCTAAACTCTTTGCAGCTGAACTGTCCCCCGTATCAACTAACATAACAGGAAGAAACAAGGGTTTCACAGGCCCTACTGGTTCCTTCGCTAAGAACCATATAGCTGGGTAAGGATAGGGAAATGGGATTGGAACTCTGCAGTTGGGGTATTAAAGTTTTCATTGAGAAAAAAGAGAAAACATACCTTAAATCCTTCACGAAGTCCCTTGAAACATTAAATAGAGCCATTATCAGGAAGGGTGGAGGACTGCAGTGTTTCAGGCTGAGTTGGGGATGGAAGAAAGAGCACTGGGTGTTTGGGAAAGGAACTGGCCAGACATGATGGGAAAATAAGGGGTGGGGATGCCAGCAAGAGCCAGCTCTTAGAAAGCTGCCCCAGGCAAGGAGGAGCCTGCAGTGATGGTGCTGGTGCCCATCTAGGGACCCTGGGGTCAGCAGAGACCAGAGGTGTGACTGGATCAAGGAACACCTGCCACCTTCTTACTTACCTTCGGGCAATTTCAGGTCACTGAGGCACAGCACAGGGGAGTCTTTGGTGAATAGGCAATCCAAGAACTCAAGATCCTCATCAGATTGGTCCACCGTAGGGCCATGGTCGGAGTTAGGGCCGGGATGCACCGACTCAGATTTCCAGCCCCATCTGATCCTGGCTTCGGGCTTCAGGCAGCAGCAGAGTTTGCTCCCCATGAGGAACCTCTACTCCTGGCTGCTGTCACTGCCTGTGCTCAACAGTTCCCCCAACCACCCTCGCCCCTCAAAATGGCAAACCACGCCCCTGCTACCCCCCCTACCCCCCGCACCCCGCACAGCTGTCAGCCGCTGCTGCCTCCACTGAGTGACCAGTCTGCGAGGACAGCCACAGTCTCACTCAGCGAAAAGGTGTGCTGATCAGCAACTGCTGAGAACCACAACCACTGCAAGAAGAGAGCACAGCCTAAGCTCCACCGCCTGCCACAGCTGCTTCTCAACTGAAGGCCTCTCTCCTGGCTGGCCCCAGCCAACCACAACACATTCTGTGATCACCTTGGTTACCAGGGACCAATCACGGCAGAGTTCCCTCCATGTGCCCACCTTGCAGAGAAGGCAGTGGCTCAGAATGCTGGCCCTCCCTGCCCTGCAGCCCCTCCACCCCCTTTCCCAGTGCACACCTGTGGCCCAGTCTTGGGCTCCACACAGAATTTCCTCAACACAGTCAAATGTAAGGAGGGCAGGAAACCAACAAATGCCCTTGGCGAAGGCAAGTGGGTGAAGAGTGAATAGTAAGAGAGGAAAGTGAGGAAAGCATCCTAGGGCTTCCCTTCCCAAACATTTGGCTGAGAATGAGTTGTGGTCGTAGTTAGAAGGAAATACAGTTTTAGGTGTGTGTGTGTGTGTGTGTGTGTGTGTGTGTGTGTGTGTGTGTGTGTGTGTTTTTTTTTAAGATGAAGAAACATGAGTATATTTATGTTAAAGGGGAAGAGCCAAAGGAAAAAGTGTGAAGTTAGAGGAGAAGGGAGACTGACTGGAGAAGGACCCTTACCCCCCAACCCCCCCCCCCCCCCAAGAAGTAGCAGTGGATGCACCCCAGAGCAGGGATAGATTTATTTTGGGAAGATAACAGAGCGAGGAGGGAGAGGGACCTGTGTGCTCATAGAGACATTCCTGGTAGAGGAGAGACTGAGGAAGAGCTCATCTGGAAACCTCTGTTTTTCTTTACTAGAGGCCTGATGCACAGAATTCGGGCATGGGTAGGGTCCCTAGGTCTGGTTGGCAATCAGGACCATCTGTGGGTGACTGATGGGGCGGGGCTAAGGGGGGAGGGGCCCATTGGCACCTTCCTTGACAAGCCTGGAGCTGCCTGCTTGTCAGCCCCACCCCCTGCCACAGCCCATTCGCCTACTGCCCTGGCCGCCCTCCCACCATCAGTCACCTCCCTCTGTGGGTCAACCAGGGGGGAGGGGCGATTGGGACCCCTGCTAGCACCTGCATTGGCTGGCCTGCAGGCTGGGGACAGCTCCTGTTTGAGCGTCTGTCCCCTGGTGGTCCGTGTGCATCATAGCGACTGATTATTCGACCAGTTGTTCAGCTGTTTGGTTAATTTGTATTCTATATTAGGCTTTTATTATAAAGGATTTTAATAGGCTTCCATATGGAAAGCTACTCTGTGAAGGAGAGGATACTGTATAGAGAAATACCCATTTCAGGAAAGCTTAAAATACCTAAGAAAACTGAATAATATCTTTCTTCAAAAGCAGGTAGATTGAAAAGACATTTTAACAAAAACCAAGGAGCTCTACTACAAATATGTAGTTCAGAAATGTAGAAGAGGAGGCTAATTAGTTCTACCAAATATTAAAAACAAATAGCAAGAACTGTTGGAGGAGAGAAAAAAAGTTAAGAAAATGACATGTACATTACTTACAAAAAGTGTGAACATTTACAAACCCTTTAATCAAATAGGTGCCCCACAGAAAATGATCAGATTCAGTGTTCCCTTTAGTGAAAGGATAGCAGGAGGGAAAGGTCATCTCAAAAGTCAGGAAGCAGAGATTATAAATATTCAATAGCTTAAAAGATATTCTTGTTTAGTGAGAAAAATGAGCAATATATTAAAATGTGGAGACCACAGTGGAATGGGAAAACATTTGTTGAAATTCAATTTCTGTAAATAGCATCTAGTTAAATCCTCAGGATCTGGTAACTACATTCCATCCTAATAATATTATTGTCTAGAATCCTAGGAATGTCAGTAGATACCCTTTTGGATAACTCTTGTAGGCTTGAGACAACACTGAAGATTATGTTGCAAAATAGTGCCTGTACTTAACATCAGATACACACACAAATAGAAATGCATGACCTTAAATTTAAATAATTTTAAACTTGCTAAGCCAAAAAATGATGGAATTATTAGGAAAATAGATTTTAACATACTTTGAAGAGAACATTGGAGAGCAGTAAGAAAAGTATATCTCCTATAAAAGTACTAAATCTAGGAGAGCAAAGGGAAGCTAATAGGAGTAATATGATTTGAATTATGGAAGAGTTGGATTTTGTTAGAGAAACAGAAAATTTGCACTTGCTACTGAGGGCAGAATGTCCCCTAGGAGGCCTTTATGATCAGTGTTTTACATGGTCTGGTGAAAACTCATTCATTCATTCAATACCCATGCAATACCTGAGCCCTTCCCACGTGCCACAAAGGTTTCAAATGCTTAGGATGTTGCTTAGACCAAAATAAACAAGGTGTCTATTTTCATGAAAATTATTTCTATTAAAAGGATCAACACACAGTATTTCCCATCACATCTTAAACTCGTGGCTTATGATGGCTATTGATCTCCAGCTCTTTTGCCTTCATTCCAGACAGCAGGGCAAAGTAAGATAAGATAGATTTTGTTTCAGACAATCCTCATAGCACAGTGCTTACATATTACTGGCTTAAAGACTAGTAACATGGCCATATGTAGCTGCAAGAGAGGCTCAAAAATGCAATCTTATTGCTGAGTAACTAACCCAGAAGGGAGAACTGGGTATTGGAAAGTAACTAGCACTCTGTGCCACAATCTGTAAGGAAAGAGTAGAAAAGTTTCAACTTCAGGAATAATCGTGACTAAATTTCACAGTCCTTTGCAAGCATATATGAAAAACTTATACAAGCAGGTCTGTAGTAATTTTTTCCCCCAAAGCAAACAGGACAGAAACACTGAATAGAGGCTTAAGTTATAGAATGAAACTAAATCCAATAGAATAAGCAATCAAGTGGTCAGGTTACAAAGTGTATAGGCATTGTGACTCACAAGGTTCCCGAAGAGACCACACGCCCCTTTTCTCTGAAAGATTGTAGAGCCAAGATCCTTGAAGGAGGGATGTTGTAGGCAGTTAGACACCAGCAGAGCAAGGACAATGAGCCAGGTTGTTATAGTTATATTAGTGTGATGATTTAAGGATTTAAAACTATGAATAATTACTTGTGTGATTTAAAATAGGAATGAAAGCAGTTACTTTTATGACTGATTTATAGTTTAAGTGTGAATTGTATTTTTGATCCTATTCTGATTTTATTTTAAGTAAAAGAAATTATTTGAAATATGTTTTAGGCTTAGTATAAGTAACTCCATATAATGTGACTTGAATCCATTTTGTAAAACTTGAGTTTTAAAACTGACTTTGAGCCCCTAACTGTGTGAACGCCCTAACAAGTGTTTATCTGAAAAGTTGGAAACTGCGGCAAAAGGTACCTGGAGAGCGCCCTATTAGGCACACTGAAGCTTTATTGGTTGCACCCAGAAGGAAGTAAGAAACGCCCAGAAGGAATTAAGAAACGCCCAGAAATGGCCATAAAAGAAGGGACCTAGAGGCACTGGGCAGAGATCAGGAAGGGCTCCTCCACCCAATGTGCTCTCCCACTCTCTCTCCCTGTTCGAAATACTGCATGAGACTCTGCCTGAGCGAAGCTGTCACTCTGCCTGTGAGCCAAACTCCTAAGGCCTCGTTCCTGACCGAGATGCTGCAGCAACGTGTTCCTGTCCAGTGTGTATGTCCGTCGGCGAGGATCTCCAGGTGACCTGCCTAGGCTTCTGGAAACCACCAGGACTCTGGTAAATACACCTTGGGATTCATGTATTTTAACTCTTGTGTCTATGTTTAGTTTATGCTCGGTCAGTTTTAGTTAAGTACTGTGGGCAACCCATATAAGTCCAGTTCTCTGGCTGAGGGACCCCAGTCACCTGTGCAGAAGTTCCCACCTGAGGGTGAATTGGAACACAGATACACAAGGTCACCAGGATGGAAAGCCCAGTTGCTTAGCAATGGACACTCAATTGTAGGGTAAGACCTTGCCCCCAGAGTGATTTGGGGGGAGCACTGGAGGCTGTTCCCTATCTGATACATTCCTTCATTGAACCAGTATGTATTAAGTCACTCTACACCAGTTTCTGTGTTGGGAGCACAGTAGCCAAGATCAGATTCTTGCCCTTAGACTTTACATTCTATCCAAGGAAACAATAAAAGGTAAACAAATAAAGCTAATATAAGAGTGTGATAGATTCTACAACAGAAATAAAATGAGTGAATGTGACAGGGAGTAATGAGAAGGGGGTGCAACTTTTCAGAGGACTGCCAACAAGTGGTGGGCTCTCAGACAGAAAAAAGTCAACCAGGCATTGCCCTGGCCAGGAAGCTCAGTTGGTTGGAGCATCATCCTAATAGGCCAAGGTTATGGGGCTCAACCTCCAGTCAGGACACATGCAAGAAACAACCAATAAATGCATAATTAAGTGGAACACCAAATCAATGTTACTCTCTCTGTCTCAAATCCAATAATTATTTTAAAAAGAAAAGAAAGAATGGATATCAACCAGGCATTCAGCATGCTAAGCAAAGATATCTCCAAGAACTGCATTCAGGGTCATCAAATACTAGTACATGGTCACCATAGCACAGATGATACTGGGTTCTGCAGATCGCTTTAGCTATTTCCTTTAAACTCCCAGGAGCAATATTTAAAACTCCTGTGATAGCCCTGGCCTGTTTAGGTCAGTAGTTAGAGCATTGCCCATAGGATGGAGTGGTTGTAAGTTCAATTTGCAACCAAGGGCATGTACCTCAGTTGCAGGATACCCTGCCTCAGGTGTGGGAGGCAACCAATGAATGAATCTCTGACACCTCTCTCTCCTCCTATCTCCCTTCAGCTCACTCTAAAAAGT